GAAGGCCTGTGCCCCAGCAGTGGGGACATTAATAGGCTGGTGATGATGATGATGATAATACTTACACAAAATTTTTAAAAAGAAAAGAAATCGTCAAATAATTACTACGTAATCACAGATCGTCCACAGACTACATAGGTATTAAAATTCTTTACTCAAAGTTGACGTCACACTATAACGTCATCGTTCCCAAGCGTTTTGGCGGTAAATTCAAAACCATTTGAAATAAATTCAACTTTAATTGGTCTAATGGAGAATAAAATACATTAATTTGTTTATTTTTATTTTTCTGTTACATCGTTTGTCTCAATCTTTAAATTTTTTTTTTTATTTGGCTTACAAAACTGGTTACAAAGAATATCCATATAAATATATGCATACAAAAAAAACATCAACTACTTTGCAACCTACTAGATGCAAGCACAACATGCATTTCTAAAACTACCTAACTACTAAGGATATATACTAAAGGATAAATATAGCACATATAGGTTAAACTCTAACTAAAAAAATTAAGTGAAAGTTAAAACTAAAAATATAGAATATAAGCAGTTTACAAAAATTTTAAAAATACCCTATTACAAATAGGTACCCAATCTAAAGCAAAAACAAATGCAGTAATTTCTTAGTTCCATCTTCGAAAGTCTCCTCTTTTCAAATTATTTTTTTTATTATATAACTTTACAATAACTAAGAAGTTTTAATGTCTTTATTTAATGAGTATTTAATTGTCTATTAATAAGAATTTATTTTACTAAGCTAGCATTCTTAGTTTGTGAGATTTTTAGGTTTCTTTAAGTGACCCGGCTTCATTGCCCTCGAGTGCATTTTGCAAATCAATCTAACTTTATCAAAATTAAATATTGTTTATTTAGTCTAGGCTGTTAAAAGCACTTGTGAATGTCTAAAAGTTACGCCATCGGTTCACGAATTTACGGAGGGAGACATTGTACTAAGAAGAACCGGCAAGAAACTCAGCAAGCTTTTTTCTGTATATACATACAGAATCGTCAAATTGAAATATAACTTCAATATGATATAGCTCATGAAGTCACTTTCAATCTGCTAAATCTTTAAATTTCGCAAGAAAAATATATTGCAGTTAGGCAAGTTCTTATTTCAACATGAATATTTCAAGTGAAGTTCAAGAGTGTACGAGTTGTTACTCTGACATCGTAGCAGTACCCAGCACGTAGTTCGTAGCAATGTACAACTCGTAGCGTTCCTCGTAGTGCGTAGCTTATGGGTACTTAAAGGATATATTTCACCGGGACACCATGGTGGTGCAACCAGTCACTGCTACTAACAAAATGTACATCTAAAGAAAAGTTTACTAGAAAAAAATCCACGCGGACCAGGCAGTGGACGGGACCGCACCCTTCGCTATCTGGGCGAATGCACTGACCATTATGCTACCACGGCATTTTCCTAGCCTTAAGCTGCAAGGCAGCGCCATCTCTTCGCATTGTAGGTAACCCAAAAAAAAAAAAAATGGGTGCGTGTACTTATGTAGGCGCGTGAGAAGTTATCCTTCTTTGGTATCGTTTAAAATTAGTTTTTAATTGCATGCAAATAATTAATTACAATAAATTAATAAAAAGTCTGGAAAAGGACACAGTCAATAAAGTTCAGTTTTAATTTGAAAAAATAAATAAATAATCAAAATATTCAATTAAAATCGCTACTGAATATAATTTATTAGAACATATATGTGATTTGCACTTGTATGAACCTCAAACACGTATTCCGAATATACAAACTAGAAACATGTGGATAAATATTATAAATATGAATACCTATAACTGTTACTTTATTACAAAAAATAAAGATGTGGTTTTTGGTTCTACTACACCAATGGTCAAGAGATGGCGCTGTAGTCTTCTGAATCGCGCTTTGGTTCCGTTGTTCCAGATTAATAAATACTTTTGATAGGCCTTCACAATGCAGTCGTTAGCACCCACTAAATAGAGATTCTATTTCTATTTTGTTGGTAGATTTTCTTAGTGTGCGGTAAACACAAAAGTAACAGCATGAAGTTGGTCGCTAAAGCGAAGCTTTTTCGAAGTCCTTATTGTTCACCCCCCCCCCCCCCCGTTTGTGGAAACCCCGGGGCTTTCGACCCGGTTGCCCTCCCCTAAATCCGGCAGTGAATATAGCCGTTAGGTTCCCATAAGCTACGCACTACGAGGAACGCTACAAGTTTTGTATTGCTACGCACTACGTGCTGGGTACTGCTACGATGTTAGAGTAACAACTTGTACACTCTTGAACTTCACTTGATATGTTTGAAGTAAACTTTAGGTTTTTCTTCTTTATTTTTATTTATGTATAATTATATATTTTTTTGTACAATTATGATACGTTAATAACTGCTGTAGTTTAATAAACTGTGTTCTAGCATGAACGCCTGTTACCGTTTAAAAAACAGAATTCCTAACATTAAAAAAACGATATTAACCCAATGAAAATATGTAACTTTAAACAAAACAAAAATATAGCCCACTTGCAGCAATAGTAAAATAAAACAAAATGTATTTTAATAAAAATAAATATAATAATACTAGCTGACCCAGCGAACTTCGTACCGCCCTAAAAAAATAGGGGTTGTCCAGCGGACAAAATTGTGAATCTAAACCATTCTCAGATCCCCTTGAACACACACAAAAAATTTCATCAAAATCGGTCCAGTCGTCTAAGAGAAGTTCAGTGACATACACACTCACAGAAGAATTATATATATAAAGATGTTGTTACTTTTTTTAAGCATTTAACTGCTAGATGTTTAAATCTAAAGAAAATGTCATTAGAAAAAATTCCACGCGGACCAGGCAGCAGATGGGTCTCAAACCAGCACCCTCCGCTATCAGGGTGGATGCACTAACCATTATGCAACCGCGGCCCTAAATATTATATAATACTGTTTAAGCTATTATTATCTTAAAGTAATAATAGCTAAAACAGTTTTATATTTTCATTATTAAGCTCGCATTTCAATCGAAGGTATACAAACACAAACATTACTAACCTGTTATAAACACAAAAAGTTAAGACACTAGTTCAGCACTAGTTTAAGAACTAATGTTATATAAAAACAGCAGTTTATAACTGCTGTACCAGCTATCTTCGCGTTTAGACTTTATCACCACTTAACATCAGGTGGGGTAGAGTCATTTGCCTACCTGACTATATAAAAAAAAAATGCCTAAACAAGGTTTTAACCGAGTTTAACTGTTTTGTAGTAAGACATAATTAATTCGAATCGATAAAACTTAAACGCATAAAACATAAATTAAACCGTCCAGGACACTACAAATAAATGAATAGATCCGAATACAAGAAACATTTTTTGCAAAATCGTACCAACATTCACTGCATTTTTTCAAGCATCCAAATGACATTATTTGTACGTATTAAACAAGAAACGTCCAGGAATACCATACGCTGGCCATCAACTAACAATTCATTGCGGTCGATTAATAACCGCGCCCAGCACCAGGGATAGGAAAAGAGTGCCAAAGTGAATTAAACAAATTAAGCTGTAAAAAAAGTGTTGTTTCGAGACTGTAGGAAGAGGGCGGCACAGATTTTTGCGTAAATGCCTATAAGTTGATTTGAGGCTGCGGAAAATTTGGCTCAAGGGTAGTTTTAGGTCCCACCCCTCCTAAAATATTAGTAAGTGCAGTGGCTAGGCAGACGCGGCATCGCAGATCGCTCCGCATTCCAGCCAGCGCGGCGCCAGCCTTAGCCGCGATGCCTCCATGTAAATCACCTCCGCTTTATACTTTATATGTACCGCAGCGCCGCCTGCATTCTGCTCCGGGAACCTTGAAACCAGCATAGCTGCATTTCAACTCCCCATCCGCCGGCCGAACGATATCGCCACTGCGGTGTCATTTATTTACGAGCGCCAACCTCGAAGCTCGAATTTTATTTCATGTTTACTCAGGCATTCCGTAGAACGTTATTTCTTCAGAAAAGGGACGATAAACATTCCTGAAATGAAAGTGAATGGCGTCCTGTAACTAATAGCCCGTCGAAAGTGAATGTTTTTCTAGGAATCGGGTAGTGGGTCTATTGGGTTGCGTGAGGACCATGCAGGCGGGCGGCTGACGGCTGACGGCTGACGGCTGACGGCTGCCGCCGATGGGCGGCTGGCGGTTGTCGGCCGGCCGGGCGAGCTGCAGTAGTGGCGCGCGGTATCGATACGCGTGCGGGTGGGGGGAGGGGCGAAGGGGGCACGGGAGGGGGGGGGGGGAGCGGGGGACGCACGCGCGCCCGCTCTCCAGTACGCCGCTGCCGCGACACGGCGACACACGCGTCCGCTCGCACCTAGCGATCGCCACGCGGCTCTCCGACGAGACCATGACTCGACGCGCTCGGTGAGGCGCCGTCGCACGCGCCCGAATACGCATTACGTAAGGATACCTAAAAGCGGACACCGCCCGTGATCAGCAGCGGACGCCGAACGATACATATCCAAAACTATATCGTACTTTCGCACGTTCCCGAGATTAGTTAAAAATTAATTATCCATTCGGGGATAACGCTGAGGCGTCGTGTTTGCGCGCTCGGGCGGTAGAACGGTCGGTTCGGCGGTAAAGTTGCGCAGGCTGCGGGTTGTGCGCGGTGCGTGAGGGGACCGCGCGGGCGCGCCGCAGTGTCCGCAGGCGGCATGCGGGCGGCCCATTCCCAGAGCCCGCTGTGAGCGCAGCATGCAGAGCGGGCAGTGAGCAGCGCCTCCGCGCGAGAGAGCGCAGAGCTAGCAGCGACGGGCGCGAGCATGGCGCGCGAGTAAGGTGGCGGCCGCGGCGCGCGCCTCGAGCCGGCCGGCGGGCGCAGCGGGCCAGCCGGCCTCACCGCGACACCGCTGCACTGCACCCGCATCCATATCCGCAGCCGCATCTCCTCCGACCCGATGACACATTGACATTGAGCAGCCACCATTGCTCGCATAGAGTTGGTCGAGAAATGGGGGCTGACGCCTGTCCTCAGGCCGAGGCAGGAATGCCCCCGGGCCCAGGAGCAAGGCGGCGACCAGAGGTACGTAAGGTAGACTAGCAGTAGAACGGTAGCGTAGCGGTCGTAAAACGGTCTGCGGCGTGGCTGCGTCCGCTTGCGTCACGCGCACAATAGAAGCGCGACCACACGCCAACCGCGGCGCGTCCGCTGCAAGCGCAACCACGGCCGCGCACCCATGTACCTCCGCGTTATGGAATATTTCGACATGTGTTGGTGAGTGCGGCGCGATGACCAGCCCTTACTAACTCATCAAGTACTAACAAATATCAAACGGTGAGTTTCACTCGAAAATATATTATGCACCTGAAATCGTCCATATCTAATTTTCCTGCATCTTAAAATAATAACGTTTCTGCGTCATCTACGCCATTATTGTTCGCTGATAGTATCGGAAATCTACCTTAATATTGAGTCTCATAATTCATGCTCAAGCATACCTACCGAGTTCCGCAGCTCCTGGCCACAAAGCTACGCCTCTGCGTCATCTACGCCATTATTGTTCGCTGATAGTGTCGGAAATCTACCTTAATATTGTCATAATTCATGCTAAAGCATACCTATCGAGTTCTGCAGCTCCTGGCCACAAAGCTGGCATGCCAACACTTCCGATATGACATATTATCTCTAGCTGATCTCTGAGATTATAAAAATATCGATGATTGACGTCGTAAACCATACGCGTAGAAAACTCAATGCCGACCGCACTTTTGTCGGAATATGTCGAGAATAAAACTATATTATGTTCCAGGATCGATAACAGACGAAACGTTTTCGAAAATAATGAACTATGTCACCGGTAATTCTTTCACTGGTAATTATTTTAATTTACACCGATGTTTTGAACGGGATATTCGATAGACTAAAATACAAATCAGTCTTGTTAACCAAATGCATTCAGCCAGTGACATTACTTAATCATATGCACTTATATTGACCTAGTATCGACCAGTAATCTGCAATAAGCGGGTTAGCTACCATCAACTAATACAGCTCACACAAATAACAATACTATAATAACCACAACTGTTTGCCAATTTCGAAATTCAGAAACATGCTAATTTCGAAATTCTGAGTTAAATAACTATCAACTCTTTTGACGGACTTAGGTGCAATACTTTCTAGATATCCACTACGTTTAACACCATTTATCTAACCCGTAAGCTAGAAAAAACCACAATTGATTTGCTAATTTCGAAATTCTGAGTTAAAAAGCCATCAATTCTTTTGAGGTAATTAGATGCAATACTCCTAGCTGTCCATTACGTTTAATACCATTTATGTAACCTTTAAGCTAATAGAAAGGCATAAGGCTTAAAGAAACGTTTACAAAAATATGTTTCATATTTCTTCTAAAAAGTACTTCAAATGACTTCACCGCAGCTAAGGAATCTAGTCCAGACGCAAAGATGGTTAGTGCAGCAAAATTACGTCACACATTACCCTCACCTGCAAAATTCTTTGTCACGCCTCTTTTTAGACGAACCCGGACGAACCCCCAAATAGTAGGCCTAGAAATCACTGGCTTATTTTTAGTATTTAGCAAATTTAGTCCCAATTTTGCTTATAAAGCACCTTTAGTGAAAATTGTTATGGTAAAGGTATAGTATTGTTATAAATGAATAGTTACCGCTGAAACAGTTAACCGTAGAGATCCTGTTTCAGCGCTCCCAAAGAAATAGAGATTGAGAGAGAATAAATTAAAAGTTTAAATAAATGTTAGTTGCTGTTAAAATTGCTACCGTGAGATTCCCATCATAAATCATATGCGAATACGAGTGATCTTTTAGAATGTAAACATTTTCTATTAGAGTAAAAGTTATTTTACAGATTTCGTTTTAATATCGTTGATTTGTATGTTAAATGTTGATAATAAAATTGATAGTAACAAATTGTATGAAATGTATTTGGATTGGAACCATTTTCTTGGGGTTCATCAGACCGACACTCTAGACATTTGCGTTTAGAGTACCTACCAACGTTTAAATATCCTTTCTATATTATTATTCTTCTTCCACATTATGCTAAAGCAATCAACTTATTATAAATATACGCGATCCTCTATTTCCATCAAGTGAAAGCACTCATCGGTTCGTACCATTAAAGTTTATTCGATTCGATCTCCATAAAAGGTGTTACCGTATTATTGTTAAACATTCTCAAATCGAAACGTTTCCATCCAAAGTTTTTATGAGGCGATAACAAGACTTGGGAATAAAAATAACCGATACACTTTGTATCGCAATTGGTTTTACGAATATACCTAATGTACACTCATACTGTTGGCATTTGCCACTCCAACGCATAAGAAATACATGACGACGAAGCGCTAAATATTACGCATAATACAAACGTATGATAGCAAAACTGGTTGAATTGAAGTCAATTCTGACGATGTGTTACTAATTTCAGTATGCAGATTTACTAGAGCATCATATTGTACAGGTTAAGTAAGACAAAACGAGTGTACACTTCTCGTTTTACAATGGGTTTTCTTAATATCATTGGCTGGCACTGCTTCTGTTTTTGGACACAAATGCCCAATCTGATTAATATCTAAAAACATTAAAGTTGCACTACCTAAAAATTCAACGTCTTTTGAATTTGACAAATCACCTCGATTCCCTCCCTCATTATCTGAAATACCATCTTCTTTCTTGTGGCGAAAAAAATAAATTGTACAAAACGTCAATGTTATAATCAGACGTCTCTATGCGTACAGGAGATCAGCGTCCTGCTTTAATTAACACCTGTTTTACGCTTACGCTCTGATATGTTAAGATTTATGACCCATATACATTCTTTTACCATCAACAAAATTTATACATCCTTCGAACAAAAAGAATGTGGTTAGATAGCAACTATATTATGTAGATTGCACGACGTGCATTCTCAGCGACCTATATATCTGTAAAGATAAGCTTACATTGAAAACATCAACTACACACATCAAAAAAAGTCAAAGCAACACGCGTCATTTACAGAAAAGGCTTTTTTATTGATTTTTGATTTCGAATATTAGTAGATTGGTATACAATAGTTTTCGAAAATATGATTGACTGATTTCAAAATATAAACTTTTAAATAAAAGTATAGATAGTATAAATAAGTATAAATATATAATAAGTATAATAGTAAAAATTGTTCAAAAATTAAAAACTGTACATCATGTTGCTTAGACTTTTTGGTGAGTATATTGTAGTTTCTGAAAATTGTATATGATTTAAAATGTCTGGTGAGTCAATGTCACCATGGATAAATTTAAGTTAAAACATAATGTCAAAAACTTTCCTACGTCTGTGTAGGAGGTCTAACCCATAATATGTGGTGTGTGTCTGATAAAATCAAAGTAGCTTAAACATGCCATCTGAAAAATCTTAGTGGTATAATAGTTATTTATGTGTATTTTACAAGCGGAATGTAGGTTATTACAAATAAGTAGCTCATAGTGACGCTCACGTGTCATACAATATTCTTCAATGTATTTTGCGAGGAAATAAAATATAAATATACCTCATATATTTAAAATATGTACATACTAAACGATAGTTGCATTTTTAAATTACACGGTAGATATGAATCTACCGTGTAATTTAAAAATGGAACTATCTTTTACTACGATACCTGTGAACCTTAGTAAAGGTTTTATTTAAATTTCGAACTGACCAGCAAATAGAAAGCTGTTTATTAAAAAACTGCTGCATGACGCTAGGGCGTGGCTTAAAAATTTAAAAAAACTTTTTTTAACAATTAAGTCTATATGTAACCCGAAACTAAGTGAACTGTCCGTGATATATCCCAAATCTCTTATTTGAGTAACCTCTGTTATGAGGACTCGCTGGATGAAATACGCTGTACCAGATGTGTGTGTCTTTCTGCAAAATTTTATGTGAAAGCATTATTAGATTTATTTCATATGTATAGAAATGGAATTTGGATTTTATTACTGTACTATATCATCAATTAATATCAGAAAAAATAAGGGTCCCAAATTGGGTCCTGGTGGTGCACCTGACGGTATAGTACTTAGCTCTAGATCTATATCCGTAAATAGCAACCAACTGAGATCTATTCTTTAGTTAAACTCGCACCATCTCGAGAGTGATCCATGCACACCCGTGTGTTCTAGCCTTTGAAGGAAGTGATCATGATCCACAAGGTCAAAAGCCTATCCAAAATCCGTGCATACAGCATGAACTTCACCGTACGCGGCAAAAATCCATGATGAACTAAGAAGACCTTTAACATGGTTGTAAAGATGTTTCTGAACAAATATTTCAAGATTTTACTGGGCATAGACAACATTTAAATGGCTCTGTAATTACTAACTACTTAATATCACCGTCTTGGTGAATTAGTGTGATATATCCAGCCTTCCAGTAAGCAGGATAAGTGCCAGACTGTAAGGAGACGTTACATATTTGAGTTAAAGGTTGACAGCTATTTAGCATAACGTTTGATAAAAACTGGTGGTAGAGAATCTGGTTCGGTTTCTTTATTGATCACGTATATATTTCAGATAAGGAAAAATTAAAAACTTGTCAAATTTTATGTCAAACAGCTATTTTTTTTATCACAAAGTTGCCCAAATCAGTGTATTACGAAACATTTTTATATCCAATTATTTTTTAATGTTAACCTTTATCGTATCTGTTTATTGAGACTAATGAGGTATTTTAATTAACTAAAGTACCTATTCCACTGATAAATCTATAATAAAACTAGCCTCAATACTTTGCCTTATCTCGCATTAAAACAACAAACAAAATCGTAGTGACACCTACAGTGTACTGTAATGTAAGTTGGTTTATTTTAAATATATTCGCGAAAATTTATATAAATATTATTTAAATTATTCGTTTTAACAGCAACGGTCACGGGGTCAGCTCCGTGAATCTGTTTGTTTAGTAAACATGAACATTTGTTTTTGATTCAATGTTATGCATATTTATAAACCGACTGATTGTTACCCGACTGCCAAAGAGGGAGGGTAATGTTGAGGGAGTGTATGTAAGTATGTATGT